GGAGCCGTTGCCGTGGCACACACCACAGCGATCCTCCATAGCACCGGAGTCAATCTCAAAGTCACAGCCCACATTCTGCAACACACAAGGAGGGGAGGCTCCTGGTGCTGGCGGCCAGCCCTCTGTGGTCCCAGCCCCGGGGGCCAGCCAGGATCAGGAGGAGAAAGCTGGGAGTAGGGCGCAGGAGGCCTCTCTCTGGCCCTGCCCCACCCCAGCTGTGCCTCTGACCCAGGTGAACTTCTCTACCTCCCTGAGCCTCAGTTTCCTCAGATGTGAGATGGGGAGACCCACCCCTCGCTTAAAGGCATGTCGTGAGCATCACATGAGACAAGAGAAGGAAAGAGTTCTGCAAAGGCCACAGGCAGGCAGGGGATCTGACGCGCCATGGGCTCCTGACCAGCGCGTGCAGGGAATTTCAACGTCAAAGGCACTGGGGGTTGGCACCTCCCTGCTGGTCCTCCTCAGAGCCCAGGCCTTGATACTCCAGAGGCTTAGAGGGCAAGAAGCAGGGACAAGTAGGTGGCTGGGGACATAGGCAAAGAGGAGAGGCCATCGTTGTTATTAAAAATAAGAATAGATTTTGTTACCAAATACTAAGCACTATTCTTCGGGGCTCAGAGCCCTTCATGTCACCTGTGCCACCTCATTTAACCCCTTCTGTCAGGGAGCAAACCACTGCCTGGGGTCAGCCAGCCAGCAAGAGGTCAAGTCACTTTCTGGGCTTTGGTTTCCTGGTTGGGGCGATGCTGGTGCAGGCATCCAAGGAGATGCAGGGGGCGAGGCCTGACTGGGAGGGGTCCCCAGTGCCAGGAGGCATAGTAGGGGCTTTGCCTTAGAGGTCATACAGGGTAGGGGCTGGGAAGACCAAAGGCAGAGCATAGGGAGGGTGGCCTGAGGAGGACCAGGAGGGACCCAGGAGAGAGCCTGGGGCCTGCCAGTGGGGCTGGGGGCAGCCGGTGCTGGGAGAGCCTCTTCTAACCAGGCACACCTTGCAGATGCCGTTGATGCAGAGGTCCCTGCTGGCCCGGACCTGGTAGCAGGGGGTGCCATCAACCACGGCGTCCCGCAGCTTCTCGGCAAAGTACTCATTCGAGGGCCGGCAGTGCAGTTCGCAGGGGTTCACTGGGGGCCCAAGTAGAAGAGCCATTAGCAACAGCTGGGGCAGGAATGTGAAGGCCACCAAGAAGATCCCTCTGTGACACACATCCATAGCAGGCTAGAGGCTCCCAAGCAGCACCAACATGCTGGAGGCTCTGGCTGGGCTGGTAGCTATCTGCAAGGCTGCAGACTGGAGAGCTAGGGGTGAGCAGCAGCCCCAGGGGACATTGGGAGAGGCCCAGGCTTGGGGTGGAGACTGGGCCTCCTGCTTGCATCACAGGGTAACCTTGGACACACACACCCCCAGCCCTCTGAGCCTCAGTGTCTCCATGGGAGGCAGCACTCACCGTCATTGACCACGGGCACCCATGTGTGCAGCTGGCCCTTGTAGAGCATAGCGTCAAAGTGGCTGCACTGGATGTGGCGGAAGGAGGGGCGACCAGCGGGGCAGGCCTGCAGGTTGCAGAGGCGGAAGCGCTTCCGCTCACCCACACAGTATCTGCCTTTGTATTTGGGCCTGTGGGGAGGACCGGGGTGCGCCCCAGTGAGGAACTGGTGAATACTACTGCATGGCCACAGCCCAGAGCGAGCGGCTTCCTCCTGCACCCACACCCCAAGATCCCTGCCGCCCAGCTTTGTGCACGCTGCTCTCCTCCCTTGGGCTGCCCACCCTCTGGCCCAGACACACCCTCCCTGTTTGTAAGGACCTGTGGGGAGGTGGCA